TTTTTTCACGGAAAAGAACAAAGACCGCACAACTGGCCATAAAGCACCGTACATAGTAGGTCCAGGAATGTAACACGCCACTACATCCGTGTCCCGAGAGGGCTGGGGGGGCTCATCCTCACCTCACATCTGCAGGAAGAACGGAGAAGACAAGAGGCTGAGAGGCCAGGACCAGCTGATGGAAAACACGGTCACATCTGGCCCCATCAGGCCAAATACACACCACACGAATCTTTATAAAATTTTCAAAAAATAAGTAGAAATAAATCAGGTTTGCCACGTGAACCCCATTGGCCATATCCTCAAAGGAATATTAGGACAAGGCTCATAGCATCACATTAGAACCCAACACTCCCATTGTGCAGATGGGGAAACTGAGGCACAGCGGAATTTTTGTTGTTGTTTTGTTGTTTGCCCTTCTCTAAGCACTTGGATGTGATTTCTGGAGCTCTGCCAGCCAATTGGAATGCCACGGGGTGGGGGGGGAGGGGAGCGGGACACACACACACACACACACACACACACACACACACACACAGGACACTGACTGTAATCAGGTACAACCATGCTGAACTCGTGTTGTTTGTTCTCTGTTTCCCTGTTTTATTTTTGGTGCTGGCACTGGCTGTGTACTCTTGCTTGGCTTTTTTATTTTTTAATGTATTTATCCTCAAGGCTGGACCACTTGAACCACACTTCCAGTTTTTTGGTTTTTGCTGGTTAATTGAACGTAAGAGTTCTCACAGGCTTTTCTGCTCAGGCTGGTTTTAAACTAGGATCATCAGCACTGGACTTGTTTATTGTTTTCATATTTGTCTGCAAATACATGCTCGGCCAATACTCTGCACTGAGCTATACCCCCAGCCTACACTGAACCCCTGAACAGCTCATTCCCCACCCCACCCCCCAAATTCACATAAGTCTCTCCACAGCAGACATTCCAATACGGGCACCACCCACAGCCAGCAGCCTGGATGCTGGTAGGCAGCAAGTATGCTGGTCTCTCACTGAGGGGGGTGGGGGGTGGGGGGAGTCCCTGTCACCAGCTGGCCCATCTCAGCCAAACTCACAACAGAGGAAACAGTTGACCTCCCTCCCCCCACCCAAAGTGGGCTCTTAAGCATCCCTGGGACTCCCCTCAAGAGCCAGGGTTCTCAGACACTATCTCTAAGGAATCTCCTCTAGCCCAGAACAATTATTTGTTTTGGATGCCCCAGAGCTCCACGTGCCAAGAGGAAGGCCCAGCAGAGAGGTTCCAGCCCTCCTGGACCAGGCAGGCTGCCACCCAGAAGGCCAGGCCCCTTTTCTGTTTGGAGAAGCAGCAGGCCTCTCTCCAGACACTCCTCACTTCCCAGGATGGCAGGTTGAAAAAGCAGAAGTCCCTGGATGGGATTTTGGGGGAGAGTTCTCCCTTCACAAAGGTTCTTGGGCCCTTTTATCTTCCAGCCTAGACAGCCAGTGTGATGGCTGAGCTCAGCAGCCATGAGGCAACTCTGAGAGGGAAAGCCTCCAGCTCCAGGAAGAAGGGGCACCCATGTCACCTCCGACGGCCTCACCTGCCACTGTCTCCTAGTCTTAGATCTTGTACGTACTTGGCTCTCCATCCCTGTCAGTGCTGGGGTACACAGCCAAGCACCCTAAACTTTTATAAAACTCTTGTAGCTCCACTGAGCTATCAGCAAACTTTGTCTCCAATCTGTCAGGCCGCAGTTTGTCCATCTGACAATGGGGTGAGCAGCCGGCTCAATGTAATCCCAGCTAGTGAACTGCAGAGCCAAGTTTGGCTTAGAATCAGGAATTGCGCTGTTTTTCGCTGCCTGTGTTCGATCACGAAGGAAATCAAGCAGCAAAGAGACCCAGAGCGCAGCAGGCACCCACCGGAAGCACACAGACCCCTCTGGGCCAATCAGGACCCACACTGGTTGCCCCACCCACAGAAGCTGATTGGCTGATCAGTACATCATTGATTTTCCCTCCCCTTTGCCCCCTCCTCCCTGCCCTGCAAGCAGGGCCTACCTTGGTCTGGTGCTTTTATGTGGGTTTTAACCTTTTCCTTTTCCGTTTTTTACCTGATTCCCTACGCCTTCCTGTTGAGGAGAAGGCAGGGTGGTGAGCAGCCTCAGGGAAGGCCATCAAGTGCAGCCATAAATACCTAGGTGTTTTATCATTTTGCAAGAGAGTTCCAGCCACCCCTGCCAGACACTTTGGGGTGCCTCTGCACCCCAGGTTGTCAGAGAACATGAGGACCTACCACCTAAGGGTGAAGGTCAGCATCCACCTCCCCACCTGCTCCTTGGCCCACCTGGACGGGCAGCCTGGCAGGCCTGAGAGGAGACCCAAGGCCCCTGGCTGGCAGGTCACCATCTCAGCCTGTTAACCAGGTGCCCACCCTCCTGTTCAGCTTCAACTCTCTCCATGTGGTCATCCAGCAAGAGCCCCCTAATCCGGTCTGCGAGGACCCATCTTCAGTGATGGTGACTGACTCACCAGTCTCCTCTTCCCGATGGTCTGGATTCAGGCTGGAGGTTGCACATGCACACTCCAAGTGCTCCTCTAGTCTCACCTGGACCTCTTTTAATTTTGGCTTCTTCCTGACGTATTCAACTTTGGCCACCTGCAGAGGACAGAGCCCACACTAAGCACCCCGAAGACTGAAGATGGGAGGCGGGGGAGGTGCTTTCTAGATAACTTAGGCTGGTGCATGGGGGGAGGGGGGAGAGAGAAGAGACTGACTTTGACCTCTGACCCTACCAGGTACCCTCCCCTCCCTGACCAGGTGAAGAAAGGAAGAGGTGACAAACAAGTTCAGTCTATTTCCATTTAAAAAGAAACATGGAGCTGGGTGTGCCCATGGCTCAAGCCTATAATCCTAGCTACTGAGGAGATGAGATCTGAGGATCATAGTCAAAACCAGCCCAGGCAGAAGTCAGTGAGACTCTTATCTCCAAATAATCACTAAAAAGCTAAAAGTGGGGCTGGGAATGTGGTTTAGTGGTAGAGTGCTTGCCTAGCATGAAGCCCTGGGTTTGATTCCTCAGTACCACAGAAACAGAAAAAAAGCCGAAAGTGGTACCGTGGCTCAAGTGGTAGAGTGGTAGGCTTGAGCAAAGGCTCAGGAACAGTGCCCAGGTGTGAGTTCAGGCCCCAGGACTGGCAAAAAATAAAATAGGCCAAGTGCCAGTGACTCACACCTGTAATCCTTGCTACTCAGGAGGCTGAGGTCTGAGGATTGATGTTCAAAGCCAGCCTGGGCAGGAAAGTCTGTGAGATTCTTATCTCCAATTAACCACCAGAAAACCAGAAGTGGCACTTTGGCTCAAAGTGGTAGAGAGCTCACCTTGAGCTGAAGAGCTGAGGGACAGCTGAGACCCAGGCCCAGAGTTCATGCCCCATGACCAACAAAAAAATAAATAAAATTAAAAAATTAAAAGCTAAAAGTGAAGTGCTAAGTAAAGCACCAGCATTAAGCAAAAACAGGCAAGCAAGAACACAAGGCCCTGAGTTCAAACACTTGTATAAGCACAAAAATAATAAAATAAACAGATAAATAAACCTAAACAGCCAGGCGTGGTGGTGCATTTCTATTGTCCCAGCACTTGGGAAGCTAAGGCAGGTGGGTGGATCATGAATTAAAGGCCAGTCTGGGCTGCAGAAAGAGATCCTGTTCAATAACAACAGTATAATAATAACACTAAAGCTGAGTGCTGATGGCTTTCACTTTTATCCTAGCTACCTGGGGAGGCTAGAGAATAAACAGGAGGATCATGGTTTGAGGCCACCCTTAACAGAAAGATTCACAAGACCCCATTTCAGTGGAAGAAGATAGTGGTGGTAGTGAGTGCCTGTCATCCAGCTATGATGGGAAGTGTAAAATAAGATCGCTGCCCAAAGCAAGATCCTATCTCGGCAAATAACCTGTGCAATAAAAGGCTGGAGGCGTGGCTCAGCAGTAGAGAGCCAGCCTAGCAAGCTCCAAACTCTGAAAGTTCAAAGCCCAGTATGGGAAGGAGGACAGAGAGGAAAGGAGGGAGGAAGAAGGGAGAACAGAAGTTGGGGAACCCCTATGCCCTGCCTATCCACAATCCAGAGACTCTACATGAGGACCCTTCCTCCCAGAGGGTACAGCCCCCAACGGGCCCTGTGCATTGTGCATGCATACATGTATACACACGTGTGCACAGGAATACATGCCCCCATCATGGACATGCAAAGCCCACGGCCCACACAGGTGACACTCACCCCACCACAAGGCGGCACCTTCATCCAGCCCCAGTGTGGAGGGACTGGTTAGGAGACGCTCTGCCCTCCTTCCTTGGAGCCCACACACCCACTCAGTCCTCCTGACCATGCCACAAGAAGCAGTATAATCACCTCAACATACAATAAAGAGAGCCAAGGCACGGCAAGCTCCCCTCCCCAAGGTGCCCATCGCTAACCACCAGGCTATCTGACCACCAGTGGACCATCCTGAAGCAAAGAGCCACCATCCATCGCAGCCCAAGGAGCTACGTAGGTGTCTGTATCCCAGAAGTAGCCACTAGGGATGTCTCCCCTTCACCATTCAACTGGAGAAACTGAGGCTAGAAAAGACCCAAAGCCCATGATGGGCTGCTAGGCAGGGAAGGGTGGGGAGCACTAGTATCTAGTGAATGAGACCCCCCAGGTGGAGACCAGATGTCCAGCCCTGGCTTCTAGGGCAGTCAAGAAGGTAAGAAAAGCCCATTTGCAGAAGGATCTGGAATGGCGGGGGAGGGGAAATCCCCTATACACAGGGGTTGGCCCTATACCTGAGGCTGGCAGCACCTCTAGAAGCCTGGCCTCAGGCACTGGGGAGCAGGCCTGGCCAGCCCTGTCATGTGCCACCTCAGCTGCATTAATGGTTAACCTGTGGTGCAAAGGGTGCTGGATGCCCGGCGGGTGTGTAAAAGGCTCAGAGCTGCTTCAGGTGCGAACACAGCCTGCCAGGTATGAGCTCAGCGCCGAGGGCGTGGGGCCCCGGGGCAGGGGGCAGCCCCGGAGGTTTCACTGCGTCAGGAGGCAGGAGATGCCAGCCTGGAGCTACGCACTGCTTCCTGGATAGATGGGGCTGTACACACATACCTGGGGCTCCAGAGCAGCCCCCCCTCCCAGACCCACAACCTGCCCTTCCCCAGGTGCTTGAGCTTAGGGGAGCCTAACCTAGCCCCCACAAGCCCACAACTAGTTCTTGCCCAGATAGCTGGGCTTGGGGGGGGGGGTAGAGAGCAGTCCCTCCACCACTGGCCCACGGTCTGCCCAAGTGGGAGGAAGTCTATATCCTATGCTGTCAGAGGTCCCGCAGCCCTACCCGGGAAAATGGGGGCACAGGTGCCCCCGACACAGGAGGTTATCTGTGCAGAAGCACCTAGAACCAAGCCACAGGGCACTTGTAGGAGCCAGCTACATTGACAGGCACCTGTTAGTCCTTCCAGGATCTGCTCAGGGAGGGGACCCTGTGTCCCAATGCTGAGCACAGTGCCTGTACCCTAACAGCCAAGAGAAACCCACTCTCCCCCACCTTCTAAATGGAAGAGGTCCTCCGATGGAGAGGTTTCCATCCCAAGGATAAGCCCCAGAAAGTTTCAAGAGCAGCATGGAGGGAGGGCACCAGGCTATACCTCAGCCCTCCAGAATCAAGAACCACAAATCTACCAGACTAAAGACTGGAGCCCAGAGTCCCCTCCCCTCTCCCTATGCTGCTTTAACCCAAAGAGGAGGACCTACTGACCGCCTTGTACCTCCAAACCTGGGGCTGGACCCAGGTCTTACAGTTCAGGCAGGGCTCTGGTCTTTCAGACTTGACCTTGGATGACCCCAAGGTCAACAGCAGCCTCTCCCAAGATCTCCACCACAGGGCAGATCCTAGAGCCTGAGCCCTGCTTGGTGAGTCCTGGTTCCCCAAGCTTTTCCACTGAGCGAGGCAGGTGCTATGGACCCCCTACAGTCACCTGAAGGGCCGCTTGGCTGGGGGAGCCCACTTTTCTCTCCAGACAGGTCCATTTTTTATCAGAGACAAAACAAACAGCGATTTACGACCCTACCTGCTCAAGGAATGCCAGGATTCCAGAGACTCCGCCACCTCTGTCTGACAGGAAATGCCTACATTTTTCTCCCAAGCACATGTTAGGAATTTTAAATTCTCAAAGCCTGCCTCAAGCTAGGCACTGGGTGGCTCTAGTCTGTAACCCTAGCTACTCAGGAGGCTGAGATCTGAGGACTGTAGTTGGAAGCCAGCCTGGGAAAGAACGTCCAGGACTCTGATTTTCCAATTAACTACTTAAAAGCCAAAAGCAGAGCTGTAGCTCAAGTGGTACAACACCAGCCAAGCAAAGGCTAGAGGTTTGAGCTCAAGCCTCAGGACTGGCACAGAAATAAAACACCTCTTCCGCCGATAGTCAAGTCAAAAAAGGAAGATACTAATATCCCCAACACTCCTACTTACACCCCCCCGGGCCCTACAATGGAGGCCCTCACACCTGTTCCAGCCACACAACCCACCCTCCCTCCTCCCTCTGCTTCATGGAGAGTACACACCAGACACCCCATTCCCACTACTGCCACAAGCTCCCCTGCCTGCATGCTCCTGTAAATTCACCCCAAAACATCACCCAAAATGCTAGCATCCAGCTGCTGCAGGGAGCCCCAGGGGGGAATTCTAAACACACCAGTGTCATGTGATAAAACTGAGCCCCACGCTATACATAAGCCTTAGAGCCAGTTGTGTGCACAACTACAGCCCATTTCCCAGATGAGAAAACTGAGCAGACCCTTGCCTGGAGTCCCCAGGGTTCTGTTCTTCTGTCTGCTTTGGAAACCTGCAGCTTGGACTTGGAAACAATGGAGCCTAGCAGCTGAAGAGACAGAAGGTCAGAGGCCAGCCTGGGCAAAAGTGTAAGACCCTATCAGAAAAGCAAACTAAAAGCAATAGGGCTGGAACATGGCTCAAGTGGTAGAGCACCTGACTAGCAAGTATGAGGCCCTGAGTTCAAACCCCAGTAGTGCTAAGACAGAGGAGTGGGGGGAGAAGAGGGAGAGTGGAAGAACAGGCAAAGCTTGGCTCTGAGACCCCAAGACACTATTCCAAGTGTCCAGTTTACAACCCCTTGGAAAGAAGCCAACCACAACCTTCAAATTAGGCAACAGATGAAAGACTGGGAGCTCCACTCCGCGTGGCTGAGGAACTCACACAGCATTAGGACGGTGATCGCAGACTATAGGGTGCACATCTCAAGAGACCTGGGCCAGGACTTCAGCTTCCTTGGCCTCCTCCCCTTGGGGAAGAAGGTGAGACCTGCACCGTACCCCCCGCCCCACTTCCCTCAAGACTGAGAGAAAAAATAGCACTAACTCCAACCCCAGCCAGCACTAGGTAGAGCTCTAAAGGAAACCCAATCAATGCAGGGTCAGATGGGCCATAGCCAAGCACCCTGGGTAGGTCTCATTGGCCAGACACAGTTGGCCATGCCACTGTACATCTCTCCCTTGCAGCTCCCATTGACTACCTTACTTCACGCCTCCTTCACCCCACCTATGTATGGGCCAGCCAAGTGCTGGCCATCCCGGGCACAGGAAAGCCATCTAGGCCTGGCCACCTTCTGTCTGTACCCAGGGGACAGCAGTAGCCTAGTGATGTCAGCAGGGTATAGTAAAAGACTAGGACTATACTACATGTGTCCCCAAGAAGAGAAGACCCCAGTTCTCACCCCCACACCCCCGACTCCAGTCTCACCTAGGGCAGTAGCTAGAATATCCAGTCCTTGGGAATCACCAGGGGCTGGCCATCAACCTTAGCATGTATACCAAATGCCACACAGCCTAGGTGGTGCCACCAAGCAGGCTGCCATTGAGCCTACAGTGGGTGGTTCCCCAGCCTGGGCCACATGGGGTGACCATTCCTGGACTTAAAACTGTCCTGTAACTGGGCACCAGTGGCTCACGCCTGTAATCCTAGCTACTCAGGAGGCTGAGATCTGAGGATCACAGTTCAAAGCCAGCCTGGTCAGGAAAGGCTGTGAGGCTCTTATCTCCAATAAACCATCAGAAAACTGGAAGTGGGGCTGTGGCTCAAGTGGTAGAGCACTGGCCTTGAACTGAAGAGCTGAGGGACTGAGTCGAGGCCCAGAGTTCAAGCCCCATGACTGACAAATAAAAAACTATCCTGTGCAGTGACAGCAGCCAGGAAAGACCATGGATCAAGCATTACAAGGACACAGGAAGAGCTGGATACAGTGGCACATGCCTGTAACTCCAGCACTTGGGAAGCTGAGGCAGGAGGATTCTAAATCAGAGACCAACCTTGACTACATTGTGAGGCCTTGTCTCAAAAATAACAACGAAAAAAAGTTCTTAGGGGGAACAGGGGTAGTGGTAGAGTGTTTTCCTAGCAAGTGTGAGGCTCTAGTTTCAGTCCTTTGTACCCCAAGGAAAAAAAAAAAAAAAAGCCAAAGAAAGCAGGGCAATGTTGGCTCTAGCCTATAATCCTAGCTACTCAATAGGCTGAGATCTGGAGGCTCTCAGTTCACAAAACCAGCCTAGACAGCAGGCTCACTTCCAATTAATCAGCAAAACAGCCAGGCTGGAGGTATGGCTCAAATGGGTAGAGCAGTGCCAGCCAAGAACAAGGAAACCAAGCGAGCAGGAGGCCCTGAGTTCAAACACAGGTACTGGCAGGGGATAAAAATTTTTAAAAACAAAAGCAAAGCAAAGCTATAGAAACTGGAACCCAGCAAAGTGGGAGGGGCTGCCCTTGAGTTTCCCTTGCCAGCCTGGCCCCGCCCCGTGTCTATTCCCACAGGGGCAGAGCTCTAAATGCATCTGGGATGTCAAGGCTACCTCTTTTCCATCCAGCTGAGCACCACCCTGGCTCCCAAACCAGCCTCCTGCACAGGCCTCCACAAAGACCCTCCTGTTCCATGGACCTTCTGTCCCTTCTCCCACAGCCCCGGAGGTCTGGGGCCTAATGTCCCCTCCTCACTCTTGGAGGTAGGGGCTGGGGAGGGCTGGAGGATGCCCTCCTCAGCAGGAAGCCTGGGATGAAGGCTGGCTCTGGTTTGCAGGACTCAGTCCCTCTTGGTTGTCTGGGACCCTGGTGGGTAGATGAGATAAAGCTACAGTCCCAGCAACATGCAGGAGAAAGGCCTCTCTGGGGATCCACCTGGCTCCCTCGGAACAGATGCTTCCGGTCCTTTGAACTGGAAGACAGGGTGGGGTCATGGGGCTCCCAGATGCTGAGAACCGGGAACCCCTGACTCACACCTTGACATTACCACCAAACTTTCTGAGGACACATTTTAGGCACCAAGAGTTCCTCTGCACCCATACAGAACTCCTACCCATTTCCTTGCCTGCATGTACCCAAGAGGCCAGGCCCTGGTGGCTCAAACCTATAATCAATCCTAGCTACTCAGGAGGCTAAGATCTGAGGATCGAAGTTCAAAGACAACCCAGGCAGAAAAGTCAGTGAGATTCTTATCTCCAATTAGCCAGAAAAAAAAAGCAGGAAGTAGGGCTGTGGCTCAAGTAGTAGAGCACCAACCTTGAAGGCAAAAGCCAAGTGACAGCCATAAAAACTGGAACCTAGTGCCAGTGTTCCCAAAAGGGAACAAGATGGCAGATGGGTCTGCATAACTACCCAGTATCCTAACAGTGGGAGCCCCAAAGTCCAAGGAAAAGCAGAAGAGTAGAACTGACAAGTAGTGGCAGGAGGGTGTGGCTTGTGCCAGGGACAGAGTCCCAGGCCACTTGAGCCTAGAGGCCCAAGTTAGCAACCCCTTCCCCGCTATCGTCCCATGCACGAGCAGCAACTGCAGGCTCCCAGACAAGCCCCCCAGGCCCAGGAAAACCCAGGGCTTTAAGGGGAGTGTCTGGCCTTAGAGATCCTGGCACTGGAATGTGGAATTTGCTCTTAATCCCCAGAGCTCCACGGGGACCAAGTCCCAGACAGAGGTCATGGTAGGTTCCAGCCAAGGGAACTAAATGAGGCACCTGTACAGCCGGCTGAGGACTGGTCCTTACTAAGAAAAGGGCTCCCTAGCATCTTCTTCCAGTGTTCAGGGTCCAGCAGAGACAGGGTTGGGGGAGTAGGGATGGAATGGATTTTCCATAATCAAAGAATGGGACTAAGGTTACTACCGGAATTGACATCCTCAAATATTAATTCTGGAGACCCTTCACCCAAGAGAGAAAAACCTTAAAGCCAGATGCCCAGCCAAGGCATGGCTCTGTTGAGAGTATCCAGCCCCTTAGCCCATCCAGACTAACAGACGTGGCTGTCTAGTCCCCCTGGCTCTGACCCACCGGCTCCCATAAATCAAGTTAGACAATCAGAAATGGAAAACCAGTTTCCAGGCAGCATCGAGCTCTGAAAGCTCCAGACTTAACCATACCTCACAAAAGCCTGGAGATGCCCAAGTCACATGACAACCATGCTCAGGTTGAACCCACAGGGGTAGGAAACCCTCTGTCCAGCAGAAGCCTCAGCTCTGGAGCACATCTGACCAGCCTCAGACCCACTGACAAGACGGCATGTTGCCAGGTGCTAGTGGCTCATACCTAACATCCAAGCTACTCAGGAGGTTGAGAACTGAGATTTGAGGTCCAGAGTTAGCCTGGGCAGGAAAGTGCATGAGACTCTTATCTCCAATTAACTACCAGAAAACAGGAAGTAGAGCTGTGGCACTAACTTTGAGCAAAAAGCTTAGGGAAATCATTCAGGCCCTGAGTTAAGCCCCACAAGTGACCAAAAAATAAATCAAGTGGGTTTATGGGTCACAAAGCAACAGACTAGACCCAACAGCCATTGGTCAGGCCAAAGGCCACAGACCCTAATGCAGCTCCTAAGAGATCTACAGCATCAAAATGGTCCCCCAGACCTTAGAACTATGGCAAAAATCAGGTGCCAGTAGCTCATACCTGTAATCCTCACTACTTAGGAGGCTGAGATCTGGAGACCACAGTTCAAAGCCAGCCTAGGCAGGAAAGACCATGAGACTCTCATCTCTAATTAATCAGCAAAAAGCTGGAAAGTGGAGCTGTGGCTCAAGTGGTAGAGTACCAGCATTGAGTAACAAAGCTAAGGGACAGTGTGAAGACCCTGAGTTCAAGCCCCAGTACTGGCAGGAAGAAGAAAGAAGAGGAGGAAGAGGAGGAGGAGGAAGAAGAGAAGGAAGAGGAAGAGGAGGAAAGAGGAAGGAGGAGGAGGAAACAGGGCAAGAGAACCATGAACTATCACTTGATAGTCAGCTCCACCAGCCCCTGCCTGGGAGTATGCTGAACACTGGCCCCTCGTGAGCACAGGCTGGCAACAGACAGCTCTGCCCTGCCTTCATTTCAAATCCACCAGCCACCCGAGGACACTGGACAACAATCTGAGGACTGGCCAGCAAGACCAGGTTACAGGCTCACCTTGACACTCCGGTGGTGTACCCTGGAGGGCTGGCATTTGACGCTGCTCGTGTTACAGCAGCCGGTACAGCGCTTCACCTCCACACATGGGGGCCAGATCAGGAAGTTGGCAGACGTGGGGTCTACCTGGCTCCGAGGTATCTCATAAATGACCGTCCTGGTCTTGCAGACCGCGGGGATGGCTTCCTCTGCAGAGCAAAAACACAGGGAATGATGAGTGACTGCCCGAATCTCCCGGGCAACACGAGCACACACTTTGTGGAGTTTGTGAGGAGGGAGGGGTTGGTGGGGTTTTTTGGAGCCAGTGCTTGAAGTCAGAATCTTGCTCTCTTGCCTTTTTCCACTCAAAACTGGAGATCCTTACAGATGTGAGCCACTACTGCCTGGCTGGCTGAGTGGAGTGCTGGTGGCACCAGAGGCCATCTGACAGCAGAAGGAGGGAGGCTGGGGTAGCCCCGGGGAAAGGACTCAGCAAGCTGTGTCTGTAAGGCTCACGTCAAGAGGGTCAGAGGACAAGAGGACAGGCTCAGCCTGATTCCCCGTGCACCCTGGGGCCAAGAACTTAGTCTTATAGGACAGAGAGGACAGCTGTTTCCTGCCTATCCCCCCAGGTGTGGCTTGCAGATAAGGAAATCCTCAGGGGATGCTAGAATACACACTGGACTCCCTAAACAACCCCTTCATAGCTAGGTCAGTCTCCAGGCCCAGCTGGTCAGTATGTAGTGGGCACCTGGCCATGCCCAGCCATGACAGTGGCCAAAACCTTGCTGGCTGGCCAAAGGCTTAGGGATCTGGCCCAGCTCTAAAAGGCACCCATGTGCTGCTTCTTACTGCCATAATAGCACTAAGATGCCCTGGATCCAAGACCCAGAGTTGGGGTATGCAGGAGGCCCAGCCCAACAAGCCATGTCCAGACTGTGGGGGGGGGGGGGGGGGGAGGTGACACTGAAGAATGTCTGAACCTAATGGAGATGGACTCCAATAGGATCAGGAAGGCAGGACAGCACCCCTCAATCCCCACCATGTCCCTCTCCTTGTCCATATCTCCCCATTGTGAGACTCAGGTGATCACCATCCTCTCTGGGCCTCACGGAGTCCCAGGAATAAGAGGCCTTTCAGTAACTCTGAAGATGTCCTGCAAACAGAGGAGTCACCCGAACCCTGCTCTACAAATTCAGGAAAGGCCACTCCACACCTCCAGCCCCAACCATAGCCCAAGGCTCTCCAGGTGGCAGGGGCTAGGAAAACCTAGCCAGAACACAGAGCCAAGAAGAGGCCTTGAGCCTAATCCCCATTTGGCTCATGGGTGCCCACCCCTCACTTCAGTCTAGACAAAGGATTCTGGAATACTAGCTGGAAGGCTTTTTGTGTTCAGTTGCTGCTGCTGTCCCAGTATTGGGGAGGCTTGAACTCAGGGCCTGGGTGCTGTCCCTGAACTTTTTCACTCAAGGTGGGCACTGGACCCCTTGTACCACAACTCCATGTCCAGCTTTTTGGTGGCTAATTGGAGATAAGAGTGTAATAGACTTTCCTGCCTGGGCTGGGTTAAAACCTTAATCCTAGATGGGCGCCAGTGGCTCACATCTGTAATCCTAGCTACTCAGGAGGCTGAGATCTGAGGATTGTGGTTCAAAGCCAGATGGGGCAGGAAAGTCCATGAGACTCTTATCTCCAATTAACCACTAGAAAACTGGAAGTGGCACTATGGCTTAAGTGGTAGAGCGCTCGCCTTGAGCTAAAGAGTGTAGAGACACCCCAAAGTTCAAGCCCCACGACTGACAAAAAAAAGAAAGAAAGAAAAAATCCTCAGATCTCAGGCTCCAGAGTAGCTAGGATTACAGGCATGAGCCATCAATGTCCAGCTAGAGAGCATTTTGACTTTGCTTAAAACAACCCCAACTCCTGTCACCTAACAATCTTACCCACATACTACGCCCAGTGTTGGTAACTGAATCTCAAGAGCGGGAGATTGACTAGGTTAAGGTCACACAGCAATGAACAGCTGGACAATAAGAAGGCATTTCTCTCAGATGGACTGTGATGGACCATAGCCTCAACACCCCCTCCCCCCGAGGAAAGCACAGGCCAGACCTTGGGGAAACCCAACTACACCTCTCAAAGGTAGGCCTGTATGGAGCCAGCCACAGAGTCAAGTCATGGGGAAGGATGTCCATGAGCAGCTAGCCACTGGACATCCAATTGTACCCTATTTTCCTGCTGCACTGGGGGCCATTCTGGTGTTTGCATTCATTAGGAACTGGAAGTTAAGCTCAGCCACGTTTTCTAGCAAGGCCTCTTGGCAGACAGGCCCTGACAGGACCTGGCACTTAAGGAATTTATGATGCTTCTTTCCATGGCAGAGGGGCAGGCAGGAGACACGCCGTGGAGGAGGAAGAGAAGAGGAGAGCAGAAGGCCAGAGCCTTTGTTAAGTGGAGGAGAGATCAGGTGGCTGACTGCACCTGAGGCCACACATTCCCTCTGCCAGGGGCCTGCCCCCTCTCCCCCCCCCCCCCACTGACTGCGGTACTCACCAATGCTTCTCTTCCGCCGGATAGGCACAGGCCGCTTTTCGGGTGCATGCTTGCCACGGGACCCATGGGCTCTCAGGCTGGTTGCCAAAGCATCCTCAGCCCCTGTGGGTGGAGAAAAGCTGGTAAACCAGTGCCCACACCCTGATCTGCGAGGTTAACGGGTGTCCACACCTGTGTGTGGCATCCTGGGGCCCGAGCTGGGGCCAGCCTTACAGATCAGCTTTCAGAGCCTCTTGGGGGCAAAGGGCAACAGCTCACCCTCACTTCCCCACCCCGTACAGCAGGGCCCCCACACCCTCCCCCCTACTCAGTAAGGCCCCCACTGCCCCCACCTCCTACACTGCAAGGCTCCTCATACTCCCACTCCTACTGAATAGGGTCCCCTACAAGCTCCCCAAAATTCATGATCCTTCACATTCTATCCCAGTGGAGACCCCTTACCCTGTACCCTATATAACAGGGTACCCTTTCCCCTCATGCAGCAAGGCCTCCCATAGCTTCTACCCCTCAGGGTCCAGCCCAGCCACACAGCATGGTCCTCTTCTCCCTCTATAGTGCCCCAAACACTTTCAACTGGGCCAAAAGAAATGGACCCAAAATGCTATAGTCTTCTCTGGGCCTATGACAGACAAAGCTAAGGCCCTTTGAGGAAGGGGCTCAGTCCGTGGACTCCCCTAAGGGGAGGCTAAAGGTTGCCCCGCTAACCCACGTCCTGGGCGGCTCCAATCGTCAGGCTAGACCACAGATGCTCTCTCAGTCCCCTGTGGATGTGTGTATAGCCCCTCCCCACTCATGGGCCAGGACTTGATGAAGTGTCCTAGCCCCCAAGGGGGCATCGGAAGCAAGGCTCCAGACTGGGCCAGGCGCCAGCCCCCTCTGGTTCCTGAAATAAGCCTGCTCTGAGGGCCAGAGGCCATGAGAAAAAGCCAGGAGGACTGGGGGAGCACAGTTACGGTTGCAGACCTGAGGCCAGAGTCCCATAAAACAGCAGTAACAGTGAGGGCCATGAGCACTGGATAGGGTACAACCAAGAGATCACAGAACTAAGACACCCCCACCAAGAACCGCAGCCCCCACCCCCGGCACACCCCGGCCCATGCAAGCCACAGCACACAGCCCTAGCCAGGTTTCAATGCTTCCTGGGGTCAGGGGAGGACACGCATTCTTGCCACTAACTAATATGAACAAAACTCCTCCTTGATTTGATGGAACACACATCTGAATCAATAAGGCTCATTAGGCCTCCAGGCTTGGCTCTACAGACCCAGCTGGAGATTTCTGTCCACCTGAGTCCTAGGTACCTAGTAATCCTAGAGACCTAGGCCCAGCAACTGAGACCCTCACAGGATCACTAAATCCCTAGCCTGCAGCCTCCTCTTCTGTTCAGGGCATCAAGATGCCCCAGCCCCTGGCCCAGTTTGAGACCTCTTTCTGCCCTTCTTTCCCAAGTTTTTGCGGGTTTTTTTTTTTATTGTTTTGTTCTGTTTCTTTTTTTTTTTTACACTGTCTCCCAACCAGCTGGAGAAACCTTGGCTCCCCTGCCCTGCCCCCATGCCCAGATATGTGATCCCACACGTTTAAAATGAAAATTGAAAACTTTGCACGAGGTGTGAACCAAGCCTGAGCAGAGCCCAACTTTTTAAATGACTCAATGTTCCAATGCTTTTTTATTTGAAGACCCAAAATAAGATCAGAACAGAACTATTCATGTAGTAAGAATTTCCCATCAGCCAACTGTTACAAGAAGCTTCCCTCCCCTTTCCCCAAAAAAAGTGTCACTATGAGTCATGTCCTAGGGGTCGCCATCACCAAACCAACAACTGGCCTGCTCTTCGTATCCAGGAGAAAGATTAGCAGCAGCAGCATGATGGGGTGGGATGGGGGGACCCTTTGGTGACTTTTCTGTGTCACCCACATTGAGTCTCATACAACTACTAGTAATAGATACTATTGGCCAAGGAAACTGAGGCCCACAGAAAAGACAACAAAGAGC